TCAAGCTCTCACAGCTAGCTTTCATCAATTTTCTCATTCAAGTATAAAAATGATTTGTCCTAGAAGTATAGGAAAAAGTATGCATGGCACTACTTCAGAAATGGGAAAATGGTTAAGAAAGCGTAAGAGTACTGAAATGGTGAGTACAGGAAACACAAAAGAACAATTGGTGGGACGCATGTATTCAAGAGTCCAATAGCAGTTTCCTCCATGAACAGAAAATTAGGAAACCTAGGTTACTACTATAACCTGCAAGTTTCAAAAGTATATCTTCTCAAGATGTTTTCCATTCATTCAGGGTTTCTCTTGTTTGGAGAAAAAACAATTGAGAAGTTTATGGACAAAGTAAAAGGGATATGTTGTATCATGCACTTGCCTTGCATGCATGAGGCCCTGGGTTCAATTCTTCAGCACCAAATAAGCAGAAAAAGCCAGAAATGGTGCTGTGGCTCAAGTGGTAGAGCACTAGCTTTGAGCTGAAGAGCTGAGGGGCAGTGCCCAGGCCCAGAGTTCAGGGCCCAGGACGGACCAAAAAAAATAAAATCTCTCTGGGCTGGGAATGTGGCTTAGTGTTAGAGTGCTTGCCTAGCAAGCCTGAAGCACAGGGTTCGGTCCCTCAGTACCACATATACTGAAAAAGTTGGAAGTGGCACTGTAGCTCAAGTGGTAGAGTGCTAGCATTGAGCAAAAGAAGCTGAAAGACAGTATCCAGTCCCTGAATTCAAGCCCCAAGACTGGCAAAAAAGGCCAGAGAAATCCTGGTGGCTCAGGCCACAAGAAGCTGAAATCCAAGGATTGTGGTTCCAAGCTAGCTGGTGCAGCAGGAAAACTGTGAGACTCTATCTCCAGTTAACCACCAAAAAGCCAGAAGTAGAGCTGTGGTAGAGTACTAGCCTTGAGCACAAAAGCTCAAACAGAACTCTGCGAATCTCAAAGACTTTTTTTTTTTTTGGGTCCGGTCGCAGGGCCTGAACTCTGGGCCTGGGTGCTGTCCCTCAGCTCTTCAGCTCAAGGCTAGTGCTCTACCACTTGAGCCACAGCACCACTTCTGGCTTTTTTCTTTTTGCTTATGTGGTGCTGAGGAAATCGAACCCAGGGCCTCAAGCATGCAAGGCAAGCACTCTACCACGGAGCTACCTTCCCAGCCCCAAGAGAATCTCAAAGATTTTTTAAGACTATCTATTTCCACTGAATAGCAAATAGATTTTCATATTCAATGGGTATAGACAACTGTTCTGAGGATCTAACAAGAAATTTTAAATTAAACGCTTCTCATGGCTTTATAAAGGTATAACTAAGCTGTTGGCATAAAAAATACTTCAGTGCTAAAATAGGCTAATATGAAGCTGGGTACCAGTTGCTCGTGCCAGTAATCCTAGCTACTCAATAGGCTGAGATCTGAGGATCAAGGTTTGAAGCCAGTCCTGATAGAAAAGCTTGTGGCTGTTGAAGTACCAAAAAAGCCGAAACAAGGATGTGCCTCTACTGGCAAAACACTAGTTTTGAGCACAAAAGAGGGACAGCACCCAGGCCCTAAGTTCAAGCCCCAGGACCAGCACAAAACGTTTCTTAAATGAGACAAGTCCAATTTTTATTTTGCCAATGCTCAGTATAAGGGAAGATTATCAATGTTCACATTAGGTATTCTATAATCTATAATGCAAATCTGCAGTTATCTGCCACATTTCCATGCTGGAACAGCACAACCTAGAACACAAGGAAGAATACAAAGTGTGTGCAAGACACTTTATAAAGTCATTTACATTTCACTCAAGTGTGGCTACATGTCACACAGTAATAGGAATACAGCAGTACAAGACTCAATAAGAGACTATACCCTCAAGTCCAGCATAATTAAGTCAGCATGAAATACACTGCACATGAAATATACTGAATCAATACAACTGTTAAAGGGGCCAGGAGAAGCACTGGTAAATTTTAAATATTAAGATCTAGCTAATAGGATAATAGATCATGGAAGGCAAAGTTGGAGGGAAATGAAATTTCAACCTTAAGTAGTGAAGGGTAAGGAGCAGCAAAGGTGTATTATTCCAGAAGGAACCACAGTACAAGTTTATATGACATTGTCACTATAAGTTGATTCAGCAATCGATCCCATGTGAATTAAGAGGTAGTATTTGAGTATACATATGGAAAATGAAGTAAAACATGGTTTTTAAAATCTCAAGGTTGTCAGTGTTGTGACAGGAGCCTATAATCCTAGCTACACAGCAGGTAGAGACTGGGAGGCCAGCACAAGCCAAAACAAAAGTCCCAGTACCTCAATTCAACCTCAATTTAAAGGGCAGGCACCAATCATCTCAGCTAGGCAGGAAACATAAGATCGTGATTTAGGCCTTCACAGATAAAATGTCAGGCTCCCATTTGAAAAATGGAAGCATGAACAGGTGGGATTATGGCTCAAGTGGTAAAACACAAGTAGTATAAAGCCGAGTTCAAGCCCAGCACCATCCAATAATGAGAAGGGGGGGAGGATTAAAAGCTGAAGTTCACCAGGGATCCTGTGGATGTCTAGAGTTCAGTTGTAGTCCCAACACTGGGAGGTTATCAGGAGAATCATCAAATTCTAGGCCAGCTTGCACTACAGAGTAAGATCCTGCCTCAAAAAAAAAAAAAAGCCCAGATTACCCATAGAGGGTCCTTTTGCATCATAAAAATGGCATTCAATCTAAGCAATTAGGGATCTTCCACCTGTCATTTCATGGGGTTTTTTTTTGTTTTTTCCTTTGGGCTCAGGATGGCAACATGTACAATCCTAGAGAAAATGATAGTTTGGAGGCATTTGAGAAGAAACTGAGCTTAGTTACTGAAGGGCTTGAATAGAAGAGAAAGGGAAATGTTCCTGAACTCTGCGTTCATTTGCCAATAAAGTGGTTATCAAGATTGTATGGAATTCAAAAGGGACTAGAACCTCCGCTGTGAAACGAGAAGATGAAAACCAAGGTAAAAGCTTAAGAAAGTACACTGAGGAGGAATAAAAGCACTGCTGGGCCAACAATGAAGCCCCAGCTCAAGCCTCAATTTGTGGTGGAACTAATCTGTCTGGTTTCATGACTCACCAGGCTACTGAAGATCAGGGGAGAGAGAATGCCAGAGTAATGTCTAGGGATTGGAGGAACCAGTAAAACAAATGAGTAATGGAGCCAAAGTACAGTGAGAGTGTTGAAGTGGCTGTAGGAATGCAGAGGGAGGAGGAGGAAAGTGGAGGGCGGGAAGCACTGGCTTCTCAAACAAAGGCTAAAATCTTGTGATTCAACTTTAATCGGAGTGGTGGTGTGCTTTTGTGGTGTAGCAGAGGTCTCAAGTAGAGCGACCAGGTCTGTATCTGTAGGAAAATAAAGGATCCTAAGTGATAAATAACCAGTATTCTCCCTGCATAAAATTAGCCCCAGGTGAACGCCCTAGGCTCCACTTCCTAAAGATAATTCCTGCTGGACACAAACTCAATCTACATAGTCGCTTCCCTCCAGTGTAACACCTGCTCACTTATGCAGGACAACGCCCAGGAACCAGATTACAACCCTTGAATCTGGCCAAAAGAATTCCACCAATAATCGAGGAGAGGAGCGGAGGATGAGATCACGGAGGCGGGGAGGCCTTCCAGACCGAGGGCGGTCCTTCCAGGAGAGGAGGCTGCGGAGAACTCCCTGGAAGGTCCTGAGGCACTCCCCTCCCCCTGTGGAGAAGGGTGCGGCCTCGCCCGCCTCCGACTCGGCAGCTCCCACCGGGCCGCAGCGACCTCGCGCCGATTTTTTGGAGAACCACAAGCAGCACCACCCGCCCACTAACCAGCCCGACCGATCCCCGTTCCTTCGCCCGCCCCCACGGATGGCAGGAGCCGGTCGGGCTGGTCTTGCCCCTTAAACGGCGGGGGCCCGGGGCGGAGCCATGGCAGCCACTACCCAGAAGCCCAGGCCGGCAACCTCCTCCGCCTCCAGCGCGCGCTTCCTGCCACGTTGCGCAGGGGCGCGAGGCCAGACACTGCGGCGCTGGGCCTCGGGGAGGGCCGTAGTAACGACCGCCTCCCCGCCGCCCGCCGGCCCGCGCAGTGGATTCGCTCGTTTGGGATTCGAGCCAATAGCAAAGATCCGCTCTCCGGGCCTCAGGAGCCAATCAGAAGCCGAAGCCGAGCAGGCGGCGGGTAAACCGACGTCCCCGAAGGGAAGGGAAGGGCGGGAGGGCGTCCGCGCGAGAGCCACTTTCACTGACCCTCCCCTCCCTCCCCCTCCCCGCGGGCGGCTGGCCGCGCCCGCTTGTCCAGTTCCCCCTCACCCCACCTACCTACCCGCCCCACCCAAGGGGCCATGCAAGTGGAGCCCGGCGGCTGCGCACTCCCGGGGCTGTAACTGACAGGAACTCTACGCCAACCAAAGCGCGCCATTTGTGTTTTCACACACGGCGGGAGGAAAAGCAACCAATCAGCGATGAGAGATGAGCCGGAAGCGCCCCTCCCACTGCGGGAGCAATGGCTCCGTCCGGTTTGAAGCCCTTTCCGCTCCCTTCTCCCTCCCCCTCCGGTTGCCGCAGGGCGGGCCGCACTCTCGCCGGTTCCCAACATACCCTTCCAGCATTGCAAGCGGAATGCCCCGACATTCCGAAGACGACCGAAAGCGAATCCGCCACCCACGGCCCGTCCACCTCAGCCACCCAAACCCACCCTCCAGCCCATCGGACCTCCCTCCCACCAGAGTCCCGCTCCCCTACCTAGCCGAAGCTCTCTGAGGAGCTGGAGCCCCAGAGCACAGCCTCTTCTCTAGGCGGCCCCGGCGGCTTCCGCTGATTGGCGGCGAGCTGGCCAATGGGTGCGGGGCAGTGGGCGGAGGGGCCAATGGTGCAGCAGGAGGAGGCGTGTCCCGGGTGCCCCTGGCGCCGGCGTTGGGAATCCCCGTGCGGTCAGTGGCGTTTCCGCTCGGGCAGCGGGCTGAGTGAGCTGCCGCCGCCGCTGCCGCCGCCGCCGCCGGGGGAGGGGCGGCCGCCGCCCGCCTGCGCTCAGAGACTCACGCAGCCCCAGTCCCGCCAGTCCGCCAACACAGTAGTGCCGGCCCCCCTCCTTCCCTAGCCCTTCCCCCTCCCCGCCTTTGGCTCGCTCCGCCTTTCTGCCCCCCACCCCCACCTCACGGGTACAGGCCATTCCCGGCCAGGAAACGCCGTGGCGCCGCGTTGGGCCTAACTCGAGTCTTGCTGCCTCCCGGGAGTGCCGTGCGCCGCAGCCCGGGCCCAGGCCCCGGCAGCGCCTGGGACAAGGTAAGGGTCCGACAGAAGAGAGACCCCGACCCTCACGCCCGGGCCTCGAGGGAGGAAGGGTCACCTCCTCTGGTCTCCCTGCGCCTGCTCTCCGAGGGACGCGGGCCTGGCCCTCCCCAGGCTCAGAGCTGGAGGATGCTGCCCCTTTCCAGCCCCTCCACACCGTCGCACCCCTCTGTGCCAGGGAGAAAGGCTCCTTGTGTAATCCAATCGACCCCACTACCCTTTTCACGTCTTTCCTGGGTCAGGACGCTCCCCCTCCCCCCACGCCTCTTCACCCCTTTCCTGGGAACTGCCTACTCCACGTTTACCTTTTACTCGAGGTTAGGCCTCTGGGTGCCCTGCTCTCAAAATACACGGGCATACTTTATTTTTTCTTCTGTTCTCAGTTCCCCACCCCCGTTCTTGCTGCCTTGTGACAACTCTGATCGCTCTGAGGGTCTCCAGATCTCCCTTCTTAATCTTGTGAACGACTTCCCTCTCGTTCTTGGGTTCCCAGCTCATGTGGCTGCTGCTTTTCCCACACTAAAGATACTTCACCACCCCCAGTCTCACATTCTTGAGCTCCCCGTGGCGTTTGCCCAAGTATCTTGAGATATCCCTGTTGAATTTGTTGGGTTCCAGCCTGGAATTGAGCCAGATTTGATCGTTTTCCCTGCCTTGGGCGTGGAGAGCGATATTTTGAGAACGTCTTTAAAGGAAAAAAAAATAGCTTTTATGAATTCCCTATCCTTCTGCCTGCAAGCCCTGATATGAAGTGGACAGTGGTGAGAAAAAGCCCTGGTTTGAGGAGGTGAATCGCAAGAGAGGGAAAGTTTTAACTGCTGGGAAAGCCCCTTTTATGCTAATTTATTCTATAGAGTTCCTTAGCCTGCCTCACTCTTTGGGAATAAGCGGTCTTTTCTCCTGCATGGATACTGATGCTGCAGCCAGCTCTGCTGGTCTGGGTCAGGGGTGCGTGTATGACCTGCATTTTCTGCTTTCTCATGTTACTTGTGCAATGTGTTCACCAGTAACTCCTTTCTTGCCCAGAGCTCTGGATTACACTGGGCTTTGTCTGTACCTGAGTTTATTTCTCCAATTTTCCCTATGCTCATAGTACTGAAAGAATCCCCAGGTTCCCTTGCTGTTTTCCTTCATCCTTCGTTTAAGTTGTTTTTATGTGGCATATTTGTGACCAAGGTCATATTTACATTTCTTCCTAGGGCATATCTTACATAGCCGTACTTTTGATTTGAAAGGAAGATACAGATGAGTTGAGTGTTATGAGTTGCAGGAGAATGTGTGCCACAAATTTAGGGAAAAAAGTATCTTTGGTTGCTAATTTTATATTAGTATATTAATAAACTGACTGAGAACAAAGTTGTAAGGCAATTTTAAATGTGTGGAATCTGAGCTAAAACTAAAGCAGAGAATACTCACATAATCAGAGGTTTCTGGGCCTTTTGGAGGACACAGGGGAAAAAATTTATTGGGTTTCTTCCAGTTTTCTCAGGAGGATCATTAGTTCTCTTCTGTAGCCAAAAATGCTGGCCTGTTATGAGATTGGAGTCTTTACGCTTTATTTGGTCTGTCATTATGTGTAGAAAAATGAATTATGTCCTTTAGTAGGACATGACACAAAGCTCTTGTCCCTGGCTACAAATTTAAATTTGACCAGCTAGTACCTTCTAAACACTACAGCTAATCTTTACTCTGAAATTGCTGGTTTCATTAAAATGAGTATCTGAAACCTAGTAAACGGCTTTTTCTAGTAAAAAGATCCAAATTTAAAAGGGTGACCTTAGGATTGTTTCTTTCTAAAAGCATTATTCCAACTCTGCTAGCATGGAGCACTGGTATTTAAAAAAAAAAAAATAGTGTAAGGAGTGGGGGTTGGGTAAAGAGAAGGTTGTTCCTGTGTTGGATCATAGGGGTGAGTATAACAAGGCAGCAGCAGCTGCTGGCTCTGGAGCTCTGGTTGCTACGTGAGAAGCTTGAGTAGTGCTGGCTGCCGTCTCCAGGGAAGGACAGCAGTGCAGCGTCCATTAATGTTGTTGGCTGCAGGGAGCTGCACTTAGAGGCAATGGCTGCTTCAGGACTAAGAAACCTGAGAATTTTCACTGCTGAACTAGTTTGCCTTTTATTGGTGGAGAGAGAATTACCAATTCATAGCCTTCTATCAAGTTATGGATATCAGTATTAGAAATTGAATCAAAGACGAGGGGGGGTGGTAGAGTTTTGTTTTTTATATCTGGTTTTTGTGAGGGTTTTTTTTTGATAGAACTAAAAGTTATTTTTGATTCAATTTAAAACTAAAGAAAGAATAAAATTTTTCTGAGAACAGATGAAGAGGATTCCACTCCCCCCTCCTCCTTTACACAAACTGGCATGTTTTTCTCTAGCTCTAAAAAATCGTTGAGTCCCTTTTTATTTTTTGATACTGTGTATCCTTCTATATTAGGTCATATTTACTTTAATAGAAGTTTGGTTTTTTTTATATGTATTCTGTGTAGTCTCCTGGTCACAAAGATGTATCTTTGGCTATAATTCATCTGAAATAACAGGGCAACCCAGACAGAATTTTCAGAACTAGATTGAGTCTAGGCAACCTGAGTCTCATTGGATTGTGGTCTCCCCTGCCCTACAATCGCTAAATGGTAGCATGATTTCTTAAGCTGCATAGTCCATCAAACATGGAAGTACTTGAAAGAGAACCACCACCCATGTACCACCACCATTAGAGGCAGTACAAGCCACACATATGCCCATGGTCTAATTTTTCCCCTAGGACATTGTGGATGAAACATCTACCCTTTTTCCTTCCGAACTTTTTTTTTCAACTTTGCATACATTTTTTCTTAGATCCTACAAGCATCTATAATTTGTAGGATGACTAGTAATTTGTGGCAAGGAACCAAAAAAAGAATGGAAAGCGTTTTGTCTTTCACAAATGTAAGCATACTGTTTTCCCAGTGATAAAAGCAGACCTATAAGATACAACCCTTAATGGATAATATTTTAAGTTGGTTCTAGTTTTTATTATTATTACATATATGAGTTAATGTAAGATAATATACTTTCATTCTGATGGGTATTCTGATAGTTTACAATACACATTTTTGTTGAGATTACTATGAAATATAGAAATTACATTGCAAAATAGTTTTCCTATTTTTTTTAACAGTTGTATTCTCAAGATAGTCATTTTCTAAAGAATCATTGAGGCCCTTTTTATAAATTGAACTAGTTATTTGAATTTGTTACATCTTTTGATATTATTTTGTGTCCAGGGACTTTCAATACTTTTTGAAATTATCCTGGCTATTTTGAGAAGAATGGCTATTTAATTTTTGCCTTTGGATGGGAAAGTCATACAGTAAAAATGAAAATGAGCAGATAACCCACTTTTTTGATAGTCTTGAGATCCAACCCCGGCCCTTGCAAACTAGATGAATGCTCTCTCTCATTGAGCCACAACCCCAGCCTTACAGATAACCACTACTTTATCCTTTATATTGAAATAACTTCATAATGAAATACTAGTTCACAGTTTAAACTGGATGGTGAGTAGAATAAAATATAACTTGGTAGAACACTAGTAATTTATCACTTTAATTTGAAATTAAAAAGCCTAGCGGTGGGTTTTGTATATCAAAGTTTTTCAGACAGAAATGATTTAAAATAGAAGTAAAACTTAAATTCTTGAAAGATGGTTAGTATGATATATATCTAATAATACAACTAGTAGACATTATTTAAATCAAGTATCACTTCAGAGGCACTCCTAAGAAAAGCAATGTGATGTACCTATGAATGAGGTTGATACTATGTTGCACTGTTCCTTGCTACCAGAAATTCCAAAATACTTGGTAAAATGGCATTTTAACCTTTCACTTTATGGTTGATTTTTCAAGTGGTTAAAATTCATTCATGGTAAAGACTTTCACTCATCTATACATATGTTGTTAAACTACTTAGCCTCTTGAAATGTTTCCTATTGTATGTTACAAATTGGTTAAAGAGTTTCCAGTAACTTTGAGGAGTGGTCCTGTTAGAAAGTATCACTAGAAAATTCTTATTCTGATAAAATGTGTTCAAAATCTTAACACTTACTGAAGGGATCTGTGAAGCAAAATAAAGGAACAATGAAGGCTAAGTCTCAGCCTACTTTATTGTGCTCTTATTGAGCAAAAAATTTTCTAATCCCATCCTGCCTCACTCACTTTTTCCATCATATTTATTTTCTTTGCTGTGCGCCTAGGGAATACCTTACTTTAAGTATCTTTGATAGGAAGACAGAAAAAAATGAATTTTTTGCTTTTTGGAATTTTAGAATTTGCTGTCCAGTTTTGTTTGATGTGTGTCTGTAGCTTCATTTCTCTCTGTGCCCTTGTCTTCCTAGTAGTCTGAGAATTGCTAGAGTTTTAATGGCAAATTGAAGTAATAATCATTTTCTTCATCATGCTATATATACACACTCCCAGAGCTAGGAATACCTTTTGGTCTATATTGTGAATCACAAAGAAGGAACAGTTAAAGGAATTTATACATAATTGTTTTATATCTAAGTAATCAAGTTTTTTTTATATGTACTACCTAAAAAGAGAAACTGATTAATTCCTTGCTGCTCTGAGAAATAGCTGGAAGCATGGGAGGAGCCAGAGACCTCTGCAGCAGGATTTGGTGTGAGGAGAAAAGGAAGATTTTTGTTTCAAATTGCCAGCTGCTTATGTCAGACTGACTCCCTTATTATGCCTCCAGTAGGCCTGTCAATATGGCCAAACAGCTAGATAAGTGCCGGGCAGGACAAAGGGCTCTTTGCACAGCAGGGAGGCAGTGTTAGTGGGGGAGGGGCAGGGAGGTAGGAAAGGCTGGGGAGGAAGGAGGTTCTTGGGAGACTATTCACTTGGCATACAATTTTAAAAATCATGTTTCATTCCCATTTGAGTAGAATTTATGCCAAGTACATACTGCAAACTCCAGATTTCATATACTCCACAATACCTGGTAGGAGCCCG